AGAGTGGACCCTTCCCAGCAAAAGGGGGGTTTTTTCGAACCCCCCAACCCCCCCCCCCCCCCCCCCACTTACATAAAATCTAGCAAGCAACAACATAACATTACACAAATAAGTTTGCATACCTATTAATGAATTAACATGTTAAGTATTTGTGATTATTACACTGCTGCAGAGCTTGTCGCTTATTTTTCAGGTCATCTGTCCAGTCAGGCTTACTGCTAACAAGTTTCACCTGTCCCCAGATAATTTTCACTTGCAACCCCCCCCCCCCCCCCCCCCCAAAAAAAAAAGTGCATTTTAATTCGATATCTAAGCTAGTTTGTTTAGATGGATATAATGGACAGTTTTTAATCCTGACTGTGCCATTACAAATATTCCGCATTGAAAACGATGATGTCCCTCATTGCAGCACCACTAGAGGTGCAATATTACATAAAATATCTGTTAAAATTAGTTAATATCGCCCATATAAAAAGCTAATAAATATTTCTCCTTTTCACTTATCGATTACTCAACATGCGGTCTGATGGAAGCCATATCTGTTTACCCAGCATATGTAGTTAGGTGTTCTTAGAGGTCTGTGCGTGGCCGGTTATAAGCAGTTTGAGCGGCCTGTTTTCAGTGTCTTGATCAATACGTTTTCCATTGACCCATAGTTGTTTCAGTTTCGATATATTTTTTGTGTCAGCCCTCACAGCATCGCTACGCGCACTTTGAGTGACATCATAATGTATGTAGATCTTTATTACAAAAAATAGTGTTTGCTATTTGTACGTGCCAGTATGGCACAGGTTAAAATTTTACTTGTGCCTTTCAGAAAAGGCTTGGGCATTTGGCGCAATTGCGTGGCCCAGGATTATCCCAGTTGATATAATTAAACAGTTGTCAAGTTTAATTATCTACCAGTGTGAGAGAGACAGACAATCAGATTCCATCATTTTAACATTGGGAGTAATGTAGCTTACCAATTGTTTTACCCTAGTATGGCCATGGCGGCCATTTTGTGACATCATACCGACTGTAAGAATACTAAAATTTTATTTAAAAGTGTCTTAGCAATTCATTTTTATGTACAGACACAGATGTAAACACGATAAGTGGAAGACAGCTTTGCTTTTTGGCTTTATATTTAAAGAACTGATGAATATTCAAGTTCAAAAATCAGCATGATCAGGCCATTATTTTAGAAGTTATGCTGCTTTTTCACTTATCAGCATATGTGCTACACTGTAAACACATTTCAAGGAAAACCGATAGGCCTGTTGTCATGAAACTTACAGGAGTAATCAGTCTTACTAAAACGCAGGTCAAGTTCGAAAATCAGCATGATCGGGCCATTATTTTAGAAGTTATGCTGCTTTTTCACTTTTCAGCATATGTGCTACACTGTAAACACATTTCAAGGAAAACCGATAGGCCTGTTGTCATGAAACTTACAGGAGTAATCAGTCTTACTAAAACGCAGGTCAAGTTAGAAAATCAGCATAATCTGGCCATTATTTTAGAAGTTATGCTGTTTTTTCACATTTCCTCAGATTCAATTCTTAGGCATGTTAACAGTCTCGTTATTGAACTTACAAGATATAAATAAAAAGTGTTTGTTTGACATTTCCTGCATCTTTACAACATTGTAAGTTGATTATGTAAAAATGATAGTAAACTTAATATCTTGTATTGTGAAATAGAGTTTCAAAAATAGAAATAAACTCATATCATTGCAGTTTGTCAGATTCAATCATTCACTATGTTCACAATCTTAGAATGGAGGAAATTGGACATTGGACACAGTTCTATTGATATTTTTTCCCATCTCATCAATTTTCTTAGTTGATCATAAAAAAATGGCAGTAATTTGTTTATTTTGTTTTATGTTAAAAAAAGTGTTAAAAATGGAAAAAAACCATTTCAGAACGGTGCTGTCTTTGAAGTTCCATGGGCCTGAAGACCTTTGCTAGTCTCATTTTCTGAATATCCATGAAACTAATATTTTATTATTAAAAATTGATGGTCATTATTCTGTTAAACATTATGTAATGATGCATCAAAATTTGAAGAAACCCCTATTTTGGGCACTGCTTCTATGATGACCATTTAATGAAATCTGTGTCACTTACTGTTCTCAAACTTACAGGAAAGAAACATGGGACTAAAATACAGATTCAGTAGGCAATGCAGTCTGTTTGGTAAATTTTTCTGGCAGTTAAACAGTTTTTTGTGAAAATTAAATTTTTCACATATTGGCATTTTCAAGGTGTGACTTAGAACCTCCATGGGCTTGAATACCCATGCTAGTCACATTTTATGAAAATCCATGTTATGTATATTTTAATATTAAAAATTGATGGTCATTATGCTGTTAAGCATTATGTAATATTATATCAAAATAGAAGAAAACGCAATTTTGGGTGCTGCTACCATGATGACCATTATGGGAAAACCGTGTAACTTACACTAGTGGGCCATATTTGGTCTTAAGGCCACTAGTAGTAAAATGACCAAAGACATAGAAACAAGGCCCTGGGCTTATAAGTTTTTATAAAAAATTAAAACATACTTCCCAAAAGGCCAATTAAAGACAGAGATTAAGTTCAGTGTCCAACAGATGTCGCTAT